TTTTATTGTATACAATCGTCAATAAATACAGTGTATGTGTAGTTCTGTGTATTGTTACCTCTACCTTATATCACTATATATATATATATATATATATATATGATAATACATAAATACATGTATTATCGATAGATATGTATATATTGATAATTCATATATATGTGTAGTATAATATATATTATTATGTATCTGTATGTGTTTGTTTGTTTATATATGTTTATAATTACAGATTTGGGAAAGAAGAAGACAGACAAAATAGTTTGGAAAAGTGTATTTTTCATGTACAGTACAGATTCATCATCATCATCCTCATCCTCATCGTCCTCGTCGTCATATTTTTTATGTAAAATTGAAACGACATAAAATAAATTACAACTGTATTTGTGATTTTTATTAATTGTTAATAAACTAATTTTATTTGCCAAAATTATTTTCAATCATTATCAATACATGGTGTAGTTTAAATTAATTTTAACTAACACAACAGAGAAAAGACACTACAAAAATACACAGTTTTAAACTTCCAACTACTAAAAGAAGAAAAGAAAAAGAATTCCATAAATTGTAATTAGTTTAATTCGAGATTTAACGACCTATTTTATATAATTTCTAAGTAAATTACAGATTTATAAGCGCTTATTCATCGCTTAATATTGAGTAAGATTAATCGTAAAACTCGGAACCACCCACAAACAGTCATTAATAAGACAATCATCCAGTAAAAACTGGGTTTGTACAGCACTAGGACGTTCTTAACCACGCCTCGAAGGAGGGGGGAGGGGTGATTTTGCAATGTAGTTCCAAAGAACGCGTCAGTACAACCTTTAACCTCGTCAGTGTCGAATGTATAATAAACATTAGCATCCGTTAGAACATCTGCGAGATGGATAGAAAACTCTTAAGGATGTGCAAGTAACTGGAAATCCGTTTACAACTCCAATCTAACTTTGGTTATTTCCTAGAATGTATAATTTTAGCGGATGTGGCTGTCATTCCACGTCAGTTAGATAAAAACTACAGGAAGTTAAAAGGCAAAACCTTTTGTATTCTACAAGTGGATATCATTCGTCTTAATAGATTTTTATTCATCTGAAGTCGCTTAAACTGTGACGATGATCGTTTCATCATCATCATAAAAAAGACCAAAAAAAAAAAAAATGGCGTCGAGACGGGGTAAGAATATTTTAAACATTTTTTTAACTTTTACCAGAAGATTCCTTTATAAAAACAAACAAAAAATTCTCTTTCAGATTGTATTTATTTTTGTGCGCCGTTTTTTGTTCCGTGTTGTTCGGAAATGTTCGTTCTAGTGGTAAGTAATTTATTAATTTTATTATTATTATTCATTACGGAACAGGAACTGGCTTTTAAAAAAAAAAAAAACGTTCGACCTTGTCTGCTATAGTAATAAAATCTTCAATGATTTTTGTTTTGTTAGTGTTTAAAGCTAGTATTAAGTAACATAATAGATTGGTGTCTGGTAATTGTGTGGCTTAAGTCCAAAAGTTGACCACTACAACGCCCACATTGTCGGCATTTTGTGATGATTACTATTATTTTTTTTTTGTTTTCTTAACGAGAAACATGTTAGAACGTTTGTTGTATTTTTATTTTCTCGGCTCTGTTCACCTTCTTTGAAGCTTAATAACTCTTGTGTTTTTTGTCGAAAATTTCTGAAATTTTGCAGGGAGTTTTACGTATTAGGGAGATTTATTCCATTAAATTTTGGTGGTTAAAGGTCGAGAGGGTGGAGAGATAGATAGGGTCGTGTATCTCGAGTACTGTCGGACTTAATGACGATTTTATTCGTTATTAGCATTTATAATTATTTTTTTTTTTATAAACCCCATCCTTACCCTCAAATTTAAGCTTTTTGCCATTTTATAATAATAATAAATGTAACAGATGACACACGCCGTTTTAAATGTTGCCTGGAAAGTTAAGCAACTCCTTTACTGGATTTATTTTTTCTAGGTTTGTGTCCTCCAGGTTTTAAGTACGTCGAGTCGCTCTTACCCAAAACTTCTGTTTGTGTAGCATTGTTTAAAACGCCCGAAAATTGGGAGAGGGCATACAATATATGTCGACATTATTCTGCTTATTTATTTTATTACCAAGCAACGGACGTTGTAGAAATTCAAAAATTCTCGAGTAAGTCGTTTACTTTTTCTATTTTAAACTCTCTCCTTAAAAAATTCTGACTCTTTTTTTAATTTTATTTTATGTAAATTAGACGAAACCGAAAAAATACACATTGGTATTAAAAGGATAAACGGGACTTATCTATGGAGCGATCCCGATCCTAGAGAATTTAGGTAAGGATTTAAGTAATAATAGCGGCCATTTTTTTTTATGGGTGGCCGTTCTTTTACAGGTTTTTTACAATGTTTAATTGATTATAACAGTCACGACAATGTCTTGAATTACGACGAATCGAAATTATTATGGGAGAAGGACGAACCGCGTGACGATTGTGTAGGTTTGAATCTCGTCACAAAGACATTATACACTACGTCTTGCAATGGTAGCCGCCATAGTTTTGTCTGCGTTGGAAACGTTTTACCAGATCCACGTAAGTAATTATTATTATTTTTTTTCTAAAGAAAATAATAAGTAGGTCTGTATTTAACACGGGATCGTTGCTGGTGAATTTCGTAGCTATCTTATGTGATGAAGGCTGGAAGTTTTCGTATTTATCTGGAAACTGTATTAAAAAATCGATGGATAAAGTAAACTATTCTTCAGCAGAAGGAAAATGCAAAGAGTTTCAGGGTGAATTGATTAATTACGAAACTTCAAAAGCTCTCGCGCCCGAATTTCTATTCGAAGCCGTTCATTCGACAAAAAACAACGGAAGTAAGTTAAAAAAAAATCCATTAATATTCTAACGTTGGATGATATATAAAATATCAATTTTCTCTTATTTTTATCGCGTATTTTCATTAGTTTACACGCGCCGTGGAGTATCGACGTTGTCCAATGATAACTGTTCTGTCGTATACTGGAATGGTAACTCCGTCCAAAAGTTTCAATCGAATTGCAATAAGCATCTTCAGTATATTTGCCAAAAAGATATGAAAAGATTAGGTAAGTCGGTTAATTTATAATACCTTAAAGTAGATACAAAACTCGTATAAATTTATATCATATTTATAGACGTAGAAGTAATCTTACGTATAACAATGGATGGTTATACCAAAGATGAGGTCCCTGTCGTTACATTTTCGAAATTTCGTGATATAATAATGGTTTTGAAGGTTAAAATCAATGGAAAGAAATATGATACTAAGAGCCTATCGAAGATAATATGGTGGAAAGATAATAAACCTATAGAGAGGTGCGTGGATGACACTTGTATACCCGTTTTATACGTGAATACTCCTAACGTTACGAAGCAAGGAATGTACTATGCATCAGTCATAATGCCTGGATATCCTTACACAATATATTCAAATGCTGTCGACATATATCTATCAGGTATACTAGAAAATTTATTTTTATTTGTGTATTATTACTTTGTTTATAACTTATATATAAGTATGTATTTGATGCTGTAGATGTGTCTACGTATCTTCTTACTATAACTGGAAGGAACATACCATACAAGAGATATATACACGATTACAGTAAGACCGATTTTATTGAATTTAGAGAAGTAGTGGATAAAAAAATGAAGAATTTATTTCAAAATTTTCCCGTTCCTAATTTACCTCAACCTTTCTGGTATTTAAGCGGTATTGCGTAAGTACTTATTTATATTAATTATTATTAAGTACGTCGAGTAGTTTTTTTTTCTTAATTTTAATTAATTATACAAAAGCTTTGGAGTATTTTGGGTTTTCTTCGCGTTAAATAGGGATATTTTCCTATAGAAGACACCTCTTTGTTATTGCATTGTCTTATCTTATCAACCCTATATTATATGGTATTATATAGAATACAGTCGACCCCCTGTAACACTGTTGATAATTCCGTTTTATATGAATTCCATGTTGTACGAGTCACTTAGATTTTACAAATACGTGTGTCGGGCTGTGAACTGCTCACGTATTTGTAAAATCTAAGTGACTCGTACAACTTGGAATTCATATAAAACGGAAAAATCAACAGTGTTATAGGGGGTCGACTGTAATTAATTCATTATATATATATATCAAAGATATATTGGGCGATTTCAAGAATATTCCTCTTGTATTTTTTCCTCTCTTGCTTGTCAAAACCACGGGTGTAAGGCTCTGTCTTATATAAACAATATAATTTGTGAGTAAAGCTTGGGGTAGGGAACCGCACGCGGATCGTGGGTTGAATTCGCCTGTTCTAGATCACGTATTTCAAATGTATTTATTACATACAATTGCGAAAGTTCTTCTAGAAGTCCGGATACGTTCATTAATTTCTAAGAATTAATTTAATTTCTTGTTAAAAAAAATAATAATAATAATTTATAAACCACAAATAACCTTAAAAGCTTATCTGATGGGTTTGGTTTTTATAAGAGTTTAATGACCCGGATAAGAACCGAACCCATGATTTTTATCAATATACCGAATCCGTCTGTTATATATAACAGAGGTAAAGTAGTGTGGCCATTCGTCATAAAATCCCTCAAGATTTTTATATTTTTAGATTCGGGGAACGTCGAGAAATGCAAAAAAAATTCAGGGTTTTTTTTTTCTGTATGTTTGCGTGTTAATGTGTGTGTGTGGGGGGGGTACGGTTCATTCTCTTTGAGGCTTAATAACTCCTGTGATTTTTATCGAAAATTTCTGAAATTTTGCAGGGAGGTTTGTCTATTAGGGGGGTTGATGCTATTAAATTTTGATGATTAAAGGTCGAGGGGACAGGGAGATAAAGGGGGTGATAACAAAATCTTATAAAAAGCGACGTCAGACATAAATTAAATATTATTTTTAAAATAACACAAGGCAACTCATTGTAGGAATTTCTTTTGGCTTTTTTGGGTTGGCAAAAATCTCGGAGGGTCAAAGTTGATACGATTCCAATACTTTACGGTGTTATATACGCAAGAAGCCGGGAAAGTAAGATGGAAGATTGGTTTCTGTTCCTTACAAACCAATAAAAATGAAAGGTTAAACCAATCAATACAGGGTTTCTAATCTTTTCCGTGTATTGACCCATTGTCAATACACGGAAAAGTAAACAGTAGACCCCCCCCAATAACAGGGTAGTATCTACCGTGTTTTATGAATTCCGTGTTGTACGAGTCACTTAAATACACGAGCCAATCACAGCCCGGCACGTATGCAGTTTAGGGACTACAGCTGTTTGAAAGGTTTTTCTTCCATAAAATTAATCGATTCGAGACTAATTCGACTCAACATTTCCAAAACACGTATATTTTTTTGGGAATAATCCATATAAACTATGCTATAAACAAAAAATTGTAGGATTACTTACCGAGTGTGCACCGTTCGACGACGCCATTGCTTAAACTTGTTTTCGTCGCGGAGCGGCGCATCGAACGGCGAGCGCGTGTTTCCTGATAAATTATTTTTCTGCGAAAAATTCGCTGAACTTCGGAGACATCATTAATATAAATATAATTTTTACGGACGTTAAATAATAAATGGTTTTTAGTAGGTCCGCTGCTCGTNCGAAAAATTCGCTGAACTTCGGAGACATCATTAATATAAATATAATTTTTACGGACGTTAAATAATAAATGGTTTTTAGTAGGTCCGCTGCTCGTTTAAACTCAGCGGTTTGTGCAATATCCGCTATTGGTCTAGATTCGACCAATCCTGTCGCGACACGAGTCGGCGATGACGTTTTTCCGTATTATACGAGTCTCTTTTAGCGTGTTTATACGAATACGATCGCAATTTTTTCGCCGTTTTATACGAATCCTTATTATATGAACCTGTTTTATAGGGGTGGTCTACTGTATATATACAGGGTGTATCAGAATGACGTTTTAAAAATTTGGGGGATTGTAGAGGATGAAATTTTAAACGTTTTGATATAAGGAACCCATAGCCGGAAATGTGATATAAAGTTTTTACAGCGGTAGGAAGTACTTGACCGCTCTTCACTTTGGTAGTTAACCTTTCGTCCGTTGACGTCATGTTATTGTTCTTGACTTCTTCCTCTGAGGTTATGTAAAGTCCCTTGTGTACGCAACACCTGTAGGAACAGTTCAGGAGCTTACGGAGCGCATCTTTACAGCATTAGCATCTTTACATTAGAGGGGAGCGTGGCGTCCATTACAGAGGGTCGAACAAAACATGGTTCGTCGTTGCACATTATGTAACGAAGTTGGTGATTGTCACACTGAAAATTTACTCTAAAGTAGTACAGCCACTGATTCCATGTACAGTACAGTTTGATTGTACTCTACTGTTTTGTCAATAAATACTGCATTCTGCTGTTTCATTCATCATACCGACCGCATAGAACGTGCAAAGTACTGTAGAAACTCTATATCACATTTCCGTCTATAGGTTCCTTATAGCAAAACGTTCAAAAAGTCGAGGGAGTGGGGAGATAGAAAATAAAAGATGTCGTGCGTATCTCCAGTAGGGTCGGAGGTTATTTGGTAAATTAAATGAATGGACAACCACTATGGATAAATGCTGAAACCAGAAGCCATTGCAGAGATATACCCAGCCATTACGCGCCACACAAGTCTGGCGCGTAATGTACAGTACTTCTTTCATTGTTCTGCTCAATTTAAGGGTTTAAAAATTAATTTTAGTTTTATATAAGCGTTTTTTTTTTTTTTTAATTTTAGTGATACTCCAGATGAAGTGACCCTTCACATATATTTATACCTGAATTTTTTCGAAAAATCAAAAGATGAGAAGTATATAATAAGGCCCAAAGACGAGAGAAGTAATGTTTACATACCACTACGCAATTTTATTAAAAATCAATTCAGGAGGAATGTTTTTTCGGACTGGAATGTGTCAAGAGAGAGCTTGCGAATAGTGGGTAAGTTCGTGTAATTTAGTCCTCCATTTAGAAAATATACAATATGTAAATTGGTGTTCTGTGTTCTGTGGGATAGAATCCCCATTATTATACTAATTATGTATTAATTTATGTATTATTTTCTGAACTTTCTTATGTCTTGGCTTCTTTACAGGTCAATGTTTTGGAGAAAATAAACTGGGTAGCAACGATATAAACATAACTTGGCACGACAGTTACAGTGGGAAATATATTGTTTCCACTCCTCCGTGCATTACTAGTAAGTTAATTAAATTTTTTATTAATGTATTATTACGAATGGGGTATTTAATTTTTTTTTAATTGTTAGGTAATTGGCAACTTGTAACTAGAACTTGTCACGGTGGATACGTGACGGGTTCGAAGTGGAGCGAGTTCGATTACGCCAAGTGCTCTAGAAGAAATGAAATAAAAGGTGATTTTTTTTAAAAATTACGTAATAATTATTATATTGTCAGCCAATTTGTTCACGTTAATCGATTTTATAGTAAATCTTTCAATGGATAAATGTCGATCCAGTTACGTATATTGGAAACATGACACGTGTATAAGTGTGCACAGGGAAAGTACAGATTGGTTTCGTGCCCATAAAATATGTGGGGAGATGAAAGGTTACCTTTTCTCACCCAAGTTCAGTTCTGATACGTCTTTTTGGGAGTTTGACCCTATCTTAGGTAAGTGAAATGTCGTTTGGGGAGACTTTATACAGTTAAATTATTTAAAAATAATAATATTTTCTGCAGATATTGGAGAAGTTTGGATGGGAGGATATCGAACTTTCGGTACGTTTCAATGGTTGGCTTTCTATCCTGGGATTATTAACACGTGAGTGTTTATTTTAATTATATTTTAAGTTTTCGTATTGTTTATTTAAATTTTAATGCTTATATTACAGAAGCGTGGTATCCTGGGGTCACGGTGAACCGAAAATTAATAATAATTGTCTAAGCGGGAAAATCTTCGCAGGAAAATTGATGCTTTACAGTAGATCTTGCCACGAAAGAAAACCCTTCGTTTGCATGCATAAAGCATTATATCCTAAATTTTATGATTGTAAGTTGAATGTTTTGCGTTAATTCGTTTAGGAAATTTTCCTTCCAATTAAAATAGTATTAATTCGTAGCTCCTAGATGCCCGGATAATTGGAAGAAATGGCCTCTTACCGAAGACAATTGCTACATGCATACAAAAATAAAGATGAATTGGAAAGAAACTCAGCATCATTGCAAACGAGAAGGTGGAAAATTAGCTGTTCTTCATAATTTCGATCAAAATATTGCTATAAGAAATTACGTACGACAACTTAATATTAATCGTAAGAAACGTTCTGTCATCTTTTAAAGTTATTCTATTCTTTTAAATTGATTATGACCATGAAAACTTTTTAAATTAAAGGTTCTTTCTGGTGGATCGGACTTCGTAAAATACAAAACAAATTTATGTGGGACGATAAAAATTCTTATATAAATTATGTGGATTGGGATCCTTCGACAGATTTCAGTCGAGGTAATACTGCTGGATGTTTAAAATTTGATGGTATTACTACTATTTCGTGGTATCTAAATAATCCCAGTAATAAAAACTATGGCATCTGCGAGACAAAGGCAAACAGAGGTAAGAAAAAATATTACTCTAAGTCTAAAATAAGGGGTGAATCCACAAGGGTTTAAGGGCCTCTCCCCATTGACACAAAGACATTTAATCATTAATACAATGTAGGTTATCCTACAGATGCTCTTGTGTAGATTATCTAGTTCTAATCAATTTATTATCCTTAAACTCTTTTTTTATTAAGATTTTATATATTTATTTAAATTATTTTAAACAAATGGAAATACAGGAAGGGTGGTGCTTCAACTGTCCGAAGTCAAAACGGGGATATTTAAATGTACATCCGATCGCAGATATTACAAAAGCATAACTTGGTATAAAGATGGATTAGTTGTGAATGGAACTCGAGGATTAATGGAAGCCAATGACGAATTTCTGGATGTTTACAAGCTGTTATCCTCCAAACATCCTCATCTTAAAACTCTCTCACGTCTTCAAGGATATTATTGGTGCGAAGTCGATCAGGAAAAACCATTTATACCGATTTCTTCCAATAAAGAACTCTTCGTCATCGAAGGTAAGTGAACCAAGCTTAGATAATTTGTAATTTTATTTTAAAAAAAAAAACACCTCATATTTACTTTTTCGATACAGATTTTTGGACTTTCTCTGGAGAATTTTTATCTAGAAAGATTTTAAATCCTTTCGATCCGAGCACTACGAAATTCTGGAATAAAATCGAAGAAATAACTAAAAAAATAGAAGATCAGATGCTGCCCAGAGAATACCCAACGTCTGCATACATTCACAACATGAGTGTAGAGAAGTGGGTAAGATTATTGCAAACATATGATTTGCACGTGGATTATTAATGATTTGTGGTGTTTTCCTTAAACAGCGGCAAGACAAAGTTAATGTTTTATATTTACATCGAACGAAAAAGGAATAAGAGAACAGATAAGAATGATAATAGAAGAAAGTATAGAGATAAGTTAGAAAGTTACATAGAATCAAAGTTACGTCGTTCTAATGTTGCTGAAGAATTACAGTTGATACCTGAAAGTCTCAAAATTAAAAATTCGGGTAGGATTTTAAGATTAATTGCTAATTTACAAGTAATCTCTATATATATGTGTGAGGATGTTTGTTTGTTTGTTCGGTTTGCACGCCTAGGCCGTTCGATCAATTGCTACGAAACTCGGCAGTTACGTTCAAATACTTCCAACTTAGAAAATTTCGTACATCCCACCCCAAATTATCGATTGGATTTCTATATATTGACTAATTTCTACATTCGATTGCTAGATTACACGTAGCGCTATCTATTGGAAAAAGAATTTAACAAAATAATTAACTAAATGTAATTCTTACAAAACGGATATAATTTTAATAAAATGTATATTGTATTCACTGAATTACTGCGAAATTGATGCGCCATTACTGCTACAGGTAGCACGTAGCACTTGCCTGTGTGCGTAGTAGTGTTTTGCCCCCCGTACATCATACTTTTCCTGTTAGATAGCTCACATGTCGCATTGCCGTAACCAAATAAACCGAACCAATTTTAATAATTTTTGTATAAAGCGTTATTTACCAGGAAACCTGGACATATCTCTCCCCCTCCCCTGATTTCATCTCCCCGTAGTAACTCATAAACCCATTGCTCCAAACTTCTTTCACTGATACTGTTCTAACGTTCAGCCAAATTAATGTAAGTGCAACGATTTTAATCCCTTTCTGCAACAGTCCCTTCTTTCAATCGGGCCCACCAGTGGCATTCAAATAGGAAAATTACATAATAAGAGGTTTACCGGCCTGTGGCACAAAATGTGGTTTTTGAGGGTGCCGAGTTCATATTTGATCCATTTTTCGCGAAAAACGACAAACTTACTGCTAGTTTATAGAATATATATTCATAATTACGTTTAAATATTAGGAGAATGCAACAGAGAAACGACAAACGTGGGTGGAAGGATTCTAACGTGGAACGAGACCATCGCTGGAAAATTTACAATCGCAAACGAAAGTTGTGTAACAGGCGAGTAATTAATTGTTTTAGTTAATTAATTAGTTAATTATTAATATAATCAGAATTTAATTTGTTAATTAAACTTGTATTTTAGAGAACGGAGATCCCGTGGTACGAAGATGTTTGGGTAATTTTACGCACGGTAGTTATTGGGGTCCTGTAGAAGGAACGTGTTCTGGTCGCTTGTCGGACATTAGCGAGAAGTTAAAGAATTTATCTCAGGTTTGAGATGTTTTGTAGTAAAATTTATACATTTAAAATGAATTTATTGAAGTTTATATTCATTTGTAGGAAACCGTGATTAACCCAAAAGAAATTTCGGAGAATTTGAAAACACTAACGAATGATTCATCCCAACTGAAAGCTATTGATTTGCATTACGTGGCAGTTACTATGCAGAATCTGGCGCAAGTACAAGTACATCAGAAAAATGTACGTAATCTCTTACGTAATATAATTAACCAATAATTCATTGTAAATGGTAATTAATTTGTGGCAGGATGTCCGAGATGTGATTTCAACTATGGATAACATAATGAATATGGATCCGGAAATTATAGTTTCCAGTAAGATTAAAGTTAATGCTTCTTCCAGGTAATTAATTAGAATGAAAAAGTAATCATTTCGTCATAAGACTGTACTCACTTAATTGGTTTATAAAGAATTACAGCTTCTCTGGAGAATATTTTGGAGAATAATATAGACATGCTTATAGACACGAGACCGAATTTAGTAGTGTCCTCGTGGTCGCTAAGAAACCATACGATGGCGGGAATGATGGTCATGTCTTCCGATGGTGACAGTTTAGGAAAAGCGATTTCTATTATAGATGTCGGGAAAAGGAAGCTAACGGACGAGAAATGTCGAGCTGGAATTCTTCTCCCTTCCGATTTGGTGGTAGAAAGGAGTCTTAAAAATTCATCGATAGATTTTGTAATCTATAAAAATGATTCGTTATTCCTGACCGGAAACAGAAGTAGCAAGATTATTACACCCGTCTTGTACGCTCATGTATCGGGTGGACCCGTGCTGTTAGAAAAAAAGACCATCGAAATAGTTTTGGAAACTTTTAAGGTAATTTTCTTTATTTTTTTATTACGTTAAATCCTAAATAGCCGAGTGAATAAATTACTGAACACTGGCACGTTGAATTTTACGGCTTTTCTTCACGTTTCCCATAGAAGGTCCTCCTGAGAGAGATCACCCATGTGTTGAGTTTCTGTATCCCATCATTAGCATATTTAACTTTAATTCTTAATCTAGGTATCGAATCAGATTCCAAATTCGGAAAAATGTGTTTATTGGGATTATTCTATGAATAACGGTGAAGGTAGTTGGTCCGATAAAGGATGCGAGACGAAAATCGATCTTCAGGACGAAAAACACGTTAGATGCTACTGTGATCACATGACCAATTTCGCCATCTTGGTGGTAAGTTACCGCAATTACAATTCATTTTTTTACATTGGCCGATTTATAATTTGAAACCTATACTTAGGATTTATACGGGGGGAACGTAGAAGAAGAGAATCATGCAATAGCTCTGGACATTATTACATATATTGGATGTACCCTTTCTATATTTGGACTCCTATTGACCATAATTACGTTCATGATCTTCAAGTAAGTTACCGGATCAGTTTCTAGTTTCATTGATAAAACAGTTAAACGAATATTCGATTTTCAGGAAGTTGAGAAAGGGATTGGGAAGTCAAGTCCTCTGCAATTTGGCCGTCTCTCTGCTTCTAACTCTGATTGTATTCCTAACGGGAATTGATCAGATATCTTCTAAAGCAGGATGCATATTTGTTGCCGCTTTGCTTCATTATTTATTATTGGTATCATTCAGCTGGATGCTAGTGGAAGCCGTGTTGCAATACCTCAGATTTGTCAAAGTGATAGGAACTTACATACCAAAATTCATGTTGAAGGCTTCGTTATGGGCATGGGGTAAGTTTTGTTGTTGGATTAGAAAATAAATTTGATATTCGTCCAATTCATTTATTTATTTATTTTATAGGATTTCCTCTCTTAATTACCTTGACAATTCTAGCCATCGATCACAATATGTATCACGGAGGAAAGAATTAGTAAGTTATTGAATTTTGAGTATTAAAATATGAAAATTTCAGTTTAAATTCATTAAATGTTATTTCAGTTGTTGGCTTAAGATCAAGCCGTTCTATTTTGGATTTCTCATACCCGTTGGTATTATTATGCTATCAAATATCATCATATTTTGTCTAGTCATCTATTCCATATCATGCGGTCGCCAGAAAGGATTAAGAACTAATCAAAGCGAACGAAAACTAGCAATAACACGTGTTAGAGCTGCGTTTTGCATCTTATTTTTATTAGGTAAACTTTTATATACATAATATTGATGCTAACGAGTGAATTTCACTTCATTCAATCAATTGACATTGTAGGATTATCTTGGACTTTTGGGTTCTTCGCTATCAGCGATGCACGACTCATATTCAAGTATCTGTTCAGCATCTTCACCACTCTTCAGGGATTCTTTATATTCGTTTTTCACGTACGTACACGAGTTTAATTATTACTCTTAACTTAGTAATGGTTTAACAATTTAGAAACTGATCCTTACAGGTGCTTCAAGAGAAGACAACTCGGGATTTATGGTACGAATATTTCTGCCTGAAAAAGGAACACGGAATGCAGATATTTGCAACCAGAGACACATCAACTGCCAAAGACACCATCACATCATCAAATTCCATCAGCAGAAACAAGTCTTAAGTTTAGACTTTTCAGTATTACTGTTGTATAAGAATCTCATTCACTGTTTATTGTTTATATTATCCATCATCATTAACGCACAAGAAATCTTTCAATAAAGAATTTTTATAGTTTATTTCTATCGTGTCGAATTATAGTAAACGTTCTACTTCATAACTGACGTGTGTGGTAATCTATCGACATTCAGAATGGGCTGTATATCATGCAATCAATCTTTCATCCACAGTAGATTTAGCAACTGCTATCTCGATTTCAAATCATCTTGCAATTTTTATAAACAAATTCGACAGACAAAAATAAAAGTGTTTTAAAATATTTCGATATTAGTGTTGTAATATTTAAAATCTGATGAAAATTTACACGATTTTTAAATATATTTCTTTGAGAAAATTATAAAATAGTAATAGAATATATCTGAATTTGTCTGTGTTCTTCCAAACTGAAACGTGGGTGTCATTAAACATCCGGTTCTAAATGTTTATTAATATTCTATCAGATAAAAAAAATTATCAAATCGTTTATTTATGAATGGCAAATTTGATAGTTTACTCTTACTTATTAATATGGTTTCTTTAAAATTTATTTGTAATAAAATGTTCTTCTATACAACACATGGTTTTAGTTATAATTAAATACTTATTTATTTCTATTATTACTCAATTCGATAACTAATTTCCTATAGTTGCTGATAAGAATACAGTACATTCTTAATCGATTTTTAATTAACCTCCTTAAAAATTAATGTGTAGTTTTAACGGTGTATATTATACACACATACAGTAGATGTAAGGTGTATCAAGACATTACCTTTGATAATTAGTCATGTGAATAAACTATCGTATACGTAATTAAAGGGAGAGGAAATTTGATTTATACTATAGAATATATATTTACTCTCGTTCCTCTTTGTTCTTAAACACTAAGTTTTCTAAATTTAAAAACTTCACAATATATAGGGTTTGTTAAGTCTGGATCCATAGGGATTGTGTTGATCTCTGTCTACTACAAGTAAATCATGGCGCTGAGTAATTAGGAACGAATTCAATTCGTTCCTTTTCATCTAGTGCCAAACTTTACCTGTAAAAGAACAAATATGAACATGACTCCTATGTTTCCAGGATTAATTGTATTTCTATATACATAATCTTTAATATGTCCTGGATGGTAAAATCTCGTATTAAAGAACACGAAGTCGCCATTAGGGTGAAATATAAAGATTCTCCTTGGTACGAACATGTTGAAAATAATAAATTTAACATCGATAAAATAAGTATTAAAATATCGTATAGAGAAAAAACATTATTTAAAAAATTGAAGGACATTATATGATTGTAAAAAATAAAAATTTAATTAATCGAAACAACGGTATGTAAATTAGATGACTGTTGGAGAAATACCACGATTTCTTTCTCACGGGATGGGTGGAAAGTAACTAGGCACTGAGAAATGCGATGATTTTTTGCAATAATAATTCAATAATAATAAATTTTATGTGTACGTGTAAACCTATCAATAGAATTTTATAATTCCTTCATCGGTGATGTGGGCAGTGACCGAGAGAGGTTGCATGCGTAGTGTAAGATGGCCGATCAGTTGCCTGTTCAGGAGAGAGCTCAAATTGCTGCACGCTATGAGTTATAGAAATCAATGGTTGTTGTGCAGATTTAGTGACGTACAATGAAAGGAGGCCATGCCGCAATCCGTCCAGGAACAATAGAAAATTGTCATTAGAAGCTAAAATCACCATAGGTTCGGTTGAGGACGTACAGAAAAGTGGCTGTCCATCCACATCATGATTTGAGGAAAACCTACATTGTGCCTACATTGATTTAAGGAATGCGTTCGTATTTTCATTTAATAAGGTACTTGTCAAGTAATTTTTATCATTATTGCTTTAGAAATATAGATATTATAGCGATTTCTCGGTAACATTACTTTACACCCATTCTATACAGTAGAATCCGCTTATTGTTATCACTTCTGGACTAACGTATAGCCTACTGATAACAATAAGTAACCGATAGTTTAAATTAAACAGGTTAAGTAAATTCTTATTTAATTTATATGAAGGTGATGATAACTTTAAACGAAATTCCGATTACAATAAGCGGTTATAAATAACAGAAAAGGAAGCGTAACCTTTTGTTATTTAATAGTAAAAAATAAATAATAATAATAAAAATATGAATATAGAAGTTGAATTACATCATCCAAGAAAGTTAAATTGAAAAGTAAAGCGCACTTTACGAGTTATATTTGTTATTAATATTGTAGAAAAAATACTAGAATAATATATTTTTTTATATAAATTTTGTATTGAAATGTCATATTGAAACAGAAACATTGGCCTACTGTTTATATATTTTAATTGCAGTATCAGAGTTTGACTTTTATGGCAGATATATATATAAAGATCACCTCCACTTTCTCCCGTTCGCTCGATAGTCGCAACAGATATGTCAACTTTCTATCAAGGAAACCCCCCTAAACAGATCTGAAATCTCCCTGAAGACTGAAACAAGTTGCCCAAAATAGTTTTGTTCCGGGTACAATGCATATCGAAACAATATAAGTCTTTTGACAATTCAGAGAAACACAAATATTCACTTTAGGGCTCAGATGAAGTGGGCACAGCCAGCAAAAGCGTCACGTGACGAATCCATCTGTTCCTTATCTCTTTTGTCTTAAGTGAACAGCAAATTTCTTCGAAAATAAATTTTCATTCTTTATTTAAAATGTCAAAATCACAAATTAATGTTTCGTATTTTTTTTTTCAGTTTATGTAAAATACGCATTAAAGTTTTCCTTTTCCTATAGGCATTGAGAGGGCCTTTAAATAAAAAGCCCATTGTAGGGCTGACGAATTCACAATTGGTGTGGAAAATGTCTTAATGCACGCGGTAAAAGTTAAAAAAAAAAAAAACTATATCGTAAAAGTTCATTCGCGCACTTGTTACGTCACGATAGTTTCATCGGCTGCAACAATAATTAACGTAGATTATTTTGTAAGAGAAGAAAAATGTTCCTATTGTTCTAACATTCCTAAAAGGCCATGGAGAAAAGAGACGAAGGAATTTCGGCAAGTTATCGAATTTTCTTTTTAGCAATTCTAAACAAATTATATTGATCGATAGTTTTACGACTTTGTTGACGATCGTGCAAATCAGTGAAGCGTTATCCTATGGGCAAAAAGCGCAATTTCCTGGGGATCCTACCAACAGAGAGAACTCCAACCAATCTTTTATAAGAAAATGTTTCCACAGAAGTCAACACTGTACTTGGGGCCCTTAATTCAAATTCGTTTGGGGTTCCCATAAAGCTATAACGCGCTACTGGTACAGGTCCAATACGATCTATTTAAACAACCGAAGCGTACTCAGCAGAAAATAATAACTTAATCACTCGCTGAGAGATTTATTCATAAAACAAACGTTTTCGATCCAATCAATGGATCATCATCAGGTTAATTAGAACACTTCAAAAATAGAACAAGTTCAAAATACAAATATTAATAACCGACACATATAAGCTATTAATAGCCAAATAATGTTTGCAAATAATACAAATGCTGCTAATACAATTTAATACAAATTGCTAAATAAAATTAATACAAATGCTGCTAATACTAAAAATAAAATAAAATAGTCAAATATAACAAACAAATTGTGAATACCCAATATTAATACCTCTAACTTAATAGACAAACTGTTAATACTAAATATTAATATTGCTTACTTAACTATACAGAGTTTTTACTACCAAATAATATTAAAGTTCCTGCTCTTATTTTAAGTTTTTAATTGCATACTTCCGTGCGGAAGGAAGTCGTCCCTCTGCATCTCTTGCTTTGATGCAATTCCCTTTAAGTTTGCTTCTATAAATTTCTAACTTTTCAGCCGTTCTTGTCAAAGTCGGAGAGTGTATCTGTTTCAGGATATTTGCTTCATCCCATCGTTCTATTGAACCTTCCGTTTGTGCCATTTGAGCCAATACTGTGGCATTAGAACCTTTTCTAATATCATATCTGTGCTCTTTTATCCTTACACCTAGGTTTCTAGTAATAACCCCAACATATTCTTTATTTATTATATCTGATTCTCTCATGGGATCTTATATACACCCGACATATCTTCTTTTTTAACCACCCCTTTATCGTTTCTAAGTATTCTGTACAGATTCGGAGCTCTTTTTAAGGCCATCCTTGTATCTTTTATATTTGCGATTTCTTTCATAATGCTTCCTAAGCGCTTGTTGTATGTAAATTTCGTGTATGTAGATGGACCTCGAACAGATACTATATCTGTACCAACTTCTAATTTATTGATAATCCCCTTTATAACATTCCTCTTGTAACTCAATGCTTCTGCTACCTGCATGATTCTTTCTATTTCTGCATCCCTGTCTATTATACTTTCGCAGTATAAAAAAAGCCCTCCTAACTAATGCTCGAAATACTGCTAATTTATATTTATAAGGATCATTAGAGCTTGCAGGTATATAGGCTATGAGTTGGTTTAATAAATACCCCGGTAGATATACGTCCCTCTCTAATGTAATATTATTAATGTCCTTTTTAAATAGTACAGTAGAAGCCGTTCTTCCGGTTAAACGTGGAGATTTTCAAAAATCCAGAAGGGTTAATTGACACGATTCCAATATTTTCCCGTGTTGTTCTATACATAACAGCCAGGAANTTATAAGAGATAATAACGAGCTAATAATTGTGGGAAATGGAATAAATGTTGCATTTTCCCATCAAAAATAGAAAAAGAAAACATGCCGGTTGTTGTGAGATTTTATTATAAAAAGAACGAATAGTTTCTTCGTTAAGGTCGACATTCCTTTATCTCTCCACCCTTTCAACCTTTAAATATCAAAATTTAATAGCGTCAATGCTCCTTATAGACAATTCCAATGCTTTCCCTTATGTAATGTATACATAACAGCCAGGAAAGTAAAAGTCGTAAGGTATACACACGCTTATTACAAGTTTATAGTATTTTTAATAAATTCAATGTAAATAGCAACGTTAAACTGATTGCCTTTATTAATTTCATATTAATAAAAAAAATTTTATGACACTTTTTCTGTAGTTATTAACGAATCTTTCGTTCGATACGAAACTTCAATACTGACTTTTACGTTACGGCGTATAAATTGTTCCCATAATTCCATAACGGATTTATCGTCTACTACCTGAAATATTTCAAATATTTTTAATACACTGAAAATTATTTTTAATTAGAAAATAAGACTTACGTTGAATACGAATATGACAAATCCTTGAAGAGTAGTTGATATGGTAAACAAGTATTTAAACACTAATTGGGCACTTTTAATTGTAAAGAATCCGAATGTCCAGGATAATCCTGAAAACAAGACCAATTCATTGTAATAATTGTGGAGTTAAAACATTATCGGCAAAGAAAAACGCTACCGGTGGCTTTTATTGCATTCTGGTCGTGGATTCGCGACCCCCGCCAACCGGGCTGGCCACGTGCTTTTTGGGTTTTTTTTTCATGTTTGTAACCCCTAAGTAGGTCAGTTCAGTGGCGCGTTATATTTTTATGAGGCCCGGGCAAATTTGAATTAGGATGCCCATACGACTTCAGACATTTTTCTTCGGGGGGGGGAATTTTTGGAGAAAAATTTTCTTATAAAAAAATTGGTTTGGGACCACCTGCAGGTGCCCAGGCAATTGTCCTTTTTATCCACAGGATAACGCGCCTACGGGTCAGTTTCCCAAAGAAAATCTTCCCGGGAGGCATCCTCTTCGGCAGATCGCCCACGTGTAACGTTGCCGGTTACAAATAAATAAATAAACAAGAAAAATGCTTACCTAATAGAGTAAAAATGCATATTGCGGCTCTCAACCTGGCAAGAATCATTTTCTTTTCGGATTGATTATGATTTATGGCTTTCCTCCCACACGTGATGGAATATATAACCATGCAGAATATTATTATGTTGATGGTCATGATGATTGCAACCGGTAGAAGGAATCCGTAATGAAAGGCTTCTATCTGAAGCCAACAACTGAAACCATATTACTTTAATCCATTGCAGCAATAAATTGCAATTAGAATTTTATAGATCATCATCACTTACTAATTCTTTCCTCCATAATACAGATTATAATCAACTGATACGATTATAATAGAAACGATAATAGGAAACCCTTGAAAAAACAATAATAATAATATAAAAAATTAACTACAGAATTCCTTACAAAACACATACTAACTTAATTGAATATTTAAAACGCTGTTCTCATATCACCAATTTTTACTTACCCCAAGCAAAAATCGTTGCTTTTAACATAAATTTCGGGACATACGTATCAAATACTTTGACTAATCTCAGGTATTGTTGGAAGGCTTCTACTAGCATCCAACATAAAGAAACTAACAATAAATAATGAAGCAGCGCGGCAACAAGGATGCATCCGACCTTTGAGGAAACTTGATTTATGCCGGATACAAACACTATCAGACTGAAGAGGATAGATAATGACAAATTAAACAGAACCTTCCTTACTGTGCCTTTTCTCAGTTTTCTGGAAAATACATTAATACATTATTTCATTTTCTTTAATTCATCAAAAGAATTTCAATGAATCCAAGTCGTTTAAAACATAAGTTAATTCGATATTCTTTTAAACTTATAAGCTGTAAAATACTATATAAAGTGACCGTGATGACCTTAGATACAGCGCTCTCGGTAGCAACGACGGGTACTATCGATCGCCATTTTGTTTTTAGTCAAAACGTTAAAATCTGTGCCACGTGTTGGGCAAGATTGTCACTTTAGAATCTATTTTTCTAGGCTAAATATAGATTGTTTTATTTCCTTTCTATTTGAGATTTAGGCAATTAGATTAGGGATATAAATCTAGATTTTTTTTTCATCTCGAATTTAGCTATTTTCTAGATTTCGTTTAATTATTATAAACTCTGATCTTACCTTCTTTAAAGTGATGAGTTTAGTACTTAATCTTCAATATACCAATATTTTTATAACATAAGTACAAGGATCTTGAATGGCTTTACTCTCAGCCATATGATTGCTTATTTATAATGTGCTCGGGTTATTCCGATCCGTACCATACTCAATGCGTTGTTGATATCTTTCGGACAGTGTTTTTTTCTTTTGCAGAATATAGTGTTCGTGTTACGAACCACATTGTTGAAGTTAAAACCCTTATAAGAGATAATAACGAGCTAATAATTGTGGGAAATGGAATAAATGTTGCATTTTCCCATCAAAAATAGAAAAAGAAAACATGCCGGTTGTTGTGAGATTTTATTATAAAAAGAACGAATAGTTTCTTCGTTAAGGTCGACATTCCTTTATCTCTCCATCCTTTCAACCTTTAAATATCAAAATTTAATAGCGTCAATGCTCCTTATAGACAATTCCAATGCTTTCCCTTATGTAATGTATACATAACAGCCGAGGAAGTAAAATTAAGAATGTTTACAAATGCATTTACTTTATCGCTACAGAATATTTTATCTTGTTTAGAAACATCGAAATAAAGGGTTAAAGAAACAAACGTCTTGTCTACTTTCAAAATTAAAAAAAAAAAACAACTCTAAGTAGGATCATTTTGACACGCACCATCTCAGTTAAGGATTAAAACCTTTTCTTTGCACACTTTTACACAACGAATTAGAATATTCTAGCTCGTTTGCCTTTACATACAACAAATGGCACGCCCCTTGACTAAAAATAAAATGGCGGACGTGTATTCAATTTCTTTAAACATGGAGTTGCTACAGCCACTCTATGTAGAATATTCTAGCTCATTGGTCTCGACCATCATTATTATTCGGACATCGCCATCTTTATGCTGTATAAAACTTCTAATATAGTTTTTAAAATTGAAAAAGTTATTTAAAAAAAATTAACTTTCAAACACGAATAATGAATAATGCTACTGTAAACTTCGAGTCAACAATACTTTTATAATAAATATTTAATTATTGTATTCGTCTTTAAAAATTTAATATCTATTAAAGGTAAAATAAATATTGCAGAACTTTTGACAAATTAATTCAAAAATTATAAAAAAAAAATTAATAAATTTACATATGTTCTAACAATGAAGAAACGTTAATTAACTTACTCGAATAAAATGAATGTAATTAATGTCAGCAATAGTCCAATTATAGACAATGTACAGCCAAAATACGTCAACACATCTAAGATAACTCCATGAGTTACATTTTCTTCATTTTCAGTATCCATGTCCTATAATATAAGTAGAAAATTCCGTGATAAAATTTAATATATATATAGTCGACCCTCCCATAACACACTTGATTATTTTGTTTTATATGAATTCCATGTTGTACGAGTCACTTAGATTTTACAGATACATGTGCTGAGCTGTGAACGGCTCACGTATTTGTAAAATCTAAGTGACTCGTACAACATGGAATTCATATAAAACGGAATAAACAACAGTTTATTGGGGGATCGACTGTATATATATATTTTTTTCTAGGTTTCTAGTACAAATGTTTAATTTACCATAAGAATAGCAAAATTAGTCATATGATCACAATAGCATACAATATGATTTTCGCTTCGGTTTCTTAATTCGCAGCCAATCGTCGACCATCCACCAGTTCTTTCATTTAAGGAATAATCCCAAAACACGCACTTCTCGCTTCCATTTTTATAATTATTAAACTATAAAAAAATCAAATATAATACAGACTATGTCATGTATATATTAGCAATATGATTATACCACACATCATCTAGTAACCTATAAAACATTTTTTTTTCTTGACTAGGATATGTTAAATTTATTCCTAAAAGTTTACTGTTTTTATTAGATGAATATGATTAAAGTTTGAGCAAAAATGTTACTACAGTATAACTTAGATAATTCAAGTTGATGGGACTGCAAAAAAATTTGAATTATTAGAGAGTTTGTGACTGGAGTTCAAACGTCAAACATGTACTTCTGCTTGCCGTACAACTTTAACGTTTGAACTTCGGCCGCAACCTCTCTATTATTTAACAAGTAATGTCTAAATCTAAATTTTATCATTATTTCGTTCATTTATTATTAAAATATTTATTTACCCGAAAAGTTTCGAAGAATATTTCAATCTTTTCGTTTTCTAACAACAATACGGATTCGCCAGTAATTTGTGCGTAAAGTATAAAACTAACAATGGCTTTATTGTGTCGACCGGTAAGAAATAGAGAGCCATTTCTGTAAACAATATAATTAACTAAAGAATTATTTAAAAATCTCTTTTGTGTTATCTCTTTCGGAAATCGTATTCCTACGAGATATTTCGTCTCCAGTACATCTAATTCTTCATTTATAGGCTTCAGTGTATCATCAGAAGCAGTTAACAATACTCCTGTTGTATCCAAACGAGACGAAACAACGATCAATTTTGATTCGGATATATTTACTGGATTCTTATTATTCTCCAGTATTGTTTCCAAAGAAGCAGTTATTCTAAAATGGAAACGTTAACGTGAACGTATGCTATAAAACTTTAATGGTACTTTAAATTTATGATTATTACCTTGAAGAAGCATTAACTCTATTCTGAGCCGATATTGTTACTGAAGGATCTACGTCCATTAAGTTATTAACAATCGGTATGATTTCTTTAAGCAAGATCTGTTGATCCTGTTTAAAAGATATAATTATAAATAAACTAAAATATCTTAATATTTTTATATCTACGTACTTGTTTATTCTGTTGAAAAACGAGATTTTCTATGGCGAGTGCCACATAATGCAAGTCTATAGCTTTCATCTGAGATGAGTGACTTGTTAGTCTATACAATCTCTGAAGAATAATTCGGTTGCCGGTCTAAAAAGTAAAATTTATATAATTATTTAATAAATTGTACTTATTTCTTACAGAAGTGATTTCCTTACCTTAGCTAAATCCTTTAATTGATAAGTGAGATTTGATAATTTCGTTGAACAAGTCGTGTTTATGGGACTCCAATAAGCACCTTCGGTAAAACTTCCCAGACATTTTCTAACGACGGGTTCTCCTTTTTCTAAATACGTAATAAATTATATTGATAAAATTAATTTTTTTTTTAAAAATCGAAAAATTACTGTGGCATCGTCATAATGCCGAGGTGCAATTTTTGATCATATTTTCATTTAAAAGTCACGCAGACCGGAAAATTCGTTTATAGTTAATCTGGACCTTCGGGTCCTAAGCTTTCCACATTTCATCTCGAGATTAAGAAACGAGGGAAGATAGTGGGAATGCATAGGACTGCAATTTTCAAATTGCTGTCCTATGCATCCCCACAAATTGCAGTCCAAAAATCCACAAAATATAAACTTACCTGTGATGCAATTTTCTTCGGGAAGAGCAATTTCACCGAAATATTTTCTTGGCCAAGTTAAAGTCTGTCCTTCTATTTCAGTAATCTCTCTAAAACAACCATCTAACAACATTAAAAAATATTTTTTAATAATTTTAAGTTGATTTTTTTAACACTATAAAAATTCTCGTGATTAATTTAAAAAATTCATCTTATTCGAATACTATCTGGACTCCTGTAACTAGATTCCTGGACTCATTAATGTCGATTAAATCTATTGATCTACTGAAGTCAAACTTTTTTTTAAAAAAAAACAGCTAATTAAAGCAGACTCCAGCTGGGTCTCTACCCTATAAATTCCAATTCAAATCATTCAATAAAACTGATTGAAAGAATGGCCGAGTGGAATTCCCACCAGTGGCCGAGTGGATAAAGTTACTAAACACTGGCAGTTAGTCGCGGGTTCTCACCTCACCAACATTGGAAGTTTTCCGGGTTTTCTTCGCGTGTTTAACATCTAAATAGGACTCAGCTTCCCGTAAGAAAGTCCTCCCAATGAGACATCTTCCCTCGGCAGTATACAAACAACAGATGTAATTTCTAGGACTTACCTGTATTTCTGATTTTCAAACTCTCAGGTAATATATTTAAATTTTTCATTACTAAAGTTGAATTTATGTTAGAGATCATAAAATTTCGTAACTTCTTCATAAATACTTCTTTATCTATCTTTTTTCTGCTACTTTTTTTGATAGAAACTTGAAAATATATTAGGAATTCTACTTTCGTTTTCTGCCTAGAATATCGTAATTTTTATGATGATTATGCCATAATATATTAAAGAAACTATTAAAGTGTATTAATTCAAATACCTACGATACACGCGAGAGTTTATTAACATAAACAGCCGATTGAAATTTCAATTTCGACAATAGATATTTTTCAATTCTTTCTCCAATCTTCACAGCTTCATTCCAATATTCTAAAGTGCTTGGATCTAAGTGATTGAAGATCTTCAAAGAAATAAATTCTCCGCTAAATGTCCATATATCTAGAAATTATAAATTTGGCAAAGGATATTAAATTACGTTACGTGACAAATTTATATATTTTTATATTAAATTAAATACTTTTGTAGGTAAAAAGCATTTTATTAGATGTAACAGATACAAATGGATCTTCTTGGTATATCTCGCACCAGTAATAACCTTGACGATGGCCTTTCTCTAGAATTTTATTTGTATAAAGTAAATTTTCTGTTAAATTTAAATAATCGTCGTCGATATTCATTAATCCTCGGCTTCCTCTAACAATAATTCCATCTTTATACCACGCAACACTCTTGTAAAATCTTTTATTAGAAGAACACTTGAAAACACCATCCGAAACTTTTTCCAATTTTGTCCGCACTCTTCCTTTTTTTTAATGAATTTCATTTTATTAGTATTTAATTATAATTATAGATTAAATTAAGAATTTTATAATTGTTACCTCTATTCATTTCCATCTCACAAATTCCCATTTTTTTCTTATTGGGATTGTCTAATGACCATGACATATTGTAGCCATTACATTTCAAATATCCAGCTGTATTGTTAAAATCAAATTTTGTGTTTCTATCCCAGTCTACGTATCGGACAATCTCGTTATTTTCCCAAATGAATCCGTGTTTCGTTCTTCGAAGTCCAATCCACCAATCTTGAAAAGAAACTCTTTATTATTAAGGCGTTCTTAACAAATTAATTAATGAATTAATAAAATGATTGATGTACCATTACAGCCGTGTTGTGATATATAATTTTTAACGAAAGAATTTACTTGAAGCGTATTCAAAGTGGCCAATCTTCCTCCTTGATTCTTACAATAATTTCCAGCATCCTTCCATGTCATTGAATTATTTGTGTCTTTATAACAGTTTTTTACGGAAGGCCAGCTCTTCCATTGTTTTGGACACCTGTGTGCTATAAAATAAACAGTAATTTATTAGCTACAGTTTTCATTTTTAATAATAATAATGTTGTATAAGATTAAATCATATAATTTCTTAAATTCTATAAGTTATTTAAGTCCAGAACTTTGAATCCCATCACATTACACCTTCCATTTTCTTCGCGCCGCAGCTCATTACGGTTGAACTTCATGTGTTGGGTTGTCATATCCCATCACTCCACTTCCATTCATAAATATAATTTATGAATAGAATGGAGAATCACTCGTTGTAGACAAAGAAAAACCAACTGAAAGACTAAAGGCGATAGTGGTTAACCCCAAAGCAAGTGAAATATCGAAATACGAAAAACTAACATACACCATCTTTTACAATATCTCAACTTAATTTTAAGAGGATTTAGTCACTGTTGTGATGAACATTTCAATTCTCTCAATAAAATGATAACATTAATTAATGTAATTAATGATAACAAATTACTTACGTAAATATTCTTTGCGGAAGAATTTGTGCATGCACAAAAATGATTTCTTTTCGTGGCATCCTCTGCTATAAAGTATTAGATTTCCTTCTTTCATTTCACCACTTAAACAATCATTATCTAATATAGGCTCGTCTTTGCCCCAATATATTCGAACTTCTTTTGATCTGTAATATAATGTTATAATCTAATAAACAATTAAAATAATCCAGAAGAAAATGATGATTACGACAATAAATTTTATAGGTTTAATTACTGAAAAATATATTCGATTGCTCTACATGAAAACTACATATTCATGTAGAAAACTACCTAAATTTAGAATTACTTACAGTAGCGTGTTATGGCTTCACGAAGCCATAACATATAAAGAGAAAATTTCTTTTATTGAATGGGACCCATATGAAATGAAACCAACGGATGTTTCATCCAACGATTTAACCACGTGGCCCACCCAAATCAATACATTCGAAGAAGGACATCGACAAACCTTTCTAAGTTTCATCTTCTTTACTCCTAACTTTAGTAATTAAACAGCGATGCGAAACCTCTAGCATATCCTATTTGGCTGAAAGTCTATTACTCTGTATGGCAGAATGACTCTATACTTATAGATATGCAACTGTTCTACCCTATTCGAGAGTGACCCTACTCGTCGACTGAGCACTAAATATTATGAAATCTCGTTTATGTATTTTAGTTTCTTTTACTTTTTTTTAACATTCGAAGTAGTTAATTCACCGAATGCAACAACTTCACGTAAATGGCACCTTCTTGGATTATCCGTGCAAAGGCACATATTCGGGTATTCATAGAGTATTCAATCTGAGCTTGGGTTTGAAATGAAAAAAAGAAAAAATGTTTGGAAAAACTTTAAACATTTCCAAAGAGAATTAATTTGACTGTAATTACAGTCAGATTTCTCTTGAGCCCGACTTAAATCGGCTGAACCCTTCAAATTTCTCATTGAAAATGGATGGTAGTAGCTTTAGTTACATTTGATTACAGTGAATAATCTTGGTTTCTATTAAAGCACCATATTACTTTTTGGCTGACTAAATTATATATGATATTCTAAATTTAAAATTTAAATAAATAGTATATTACTGGATATTCCCAACTCGAGGATTTCTATAAATAAATTAAAAATGGAATGTAACTTTAAATAATACGATATATTAATGTTATAAATTATTAAAGACTTTCTTTTTATTGATATAAAACATAATTTATTTAATTTAACAAAATTATACTTACGTATTTATAATATTTGGATAAAAAGCTAACCATTGAAAACGGCCAATATTTCGATATCCTCCGAGCCACATCTCTGGAAATTCTGTAAAATGCAACAATAAATCTTTATAAAAATCTTTTTTTTATATATTTTTTTCTAAAGAAAAAAAGGAAATATTTATTTTACCAAAATCAAATGAAGAATTTAAATCTTGTATGGATATATCGGGATCAATACTGAGAGTAAATAAATATCCACGTCCTTTTCCACATTCCTCAGAAGCATCAAACCAGTTCTTTCTCTCTTTGTACAATCGAATACAAATGTCATAACCCCACAATTTGTATCCTGGCATGCAACCACTAAACGGTTGATTTGCTGCATAACATAATGATTTTTTTCTGATCAGTTTTAATGTAAAAAATTAGCGTAATCGTCAATCATAAAAGACGGAATAAAGAAGATTGCTATGAAGTTATATTGTTAAAGAGTGGATTAATTTAGTCTCATTTTAATAAATATATAAGTTGTAAGAAGTATTAATTATTTCCGATTATATTTCCGGAGAAAATGCGAGATGTCTTCTCCGGAATAAGATACTTAGTAACGTTTCCGATAAGTCTTGTAAATAATTTTTAAATATGATCCTGATTTAAGGTATCGGTCGATCCTCCTATAACACTGTTGATTTTTCCGTTTTATATGAATTCCATGTTGTACGAGTCACTTAGATTTTACAAATACGTGTGCCGGGCTGTGAACGGCTCACGTATTTGTAAAATTCAAGTGACTCGTACAACGTGGAATTCATATAAAACGGAAAAATCAACAGTGTTATAGGGGGTTCGACTGGTACTTTCACAGAGAGATCCTGTGAAGAATCAGAACTTTTTGAATGAGGGAATAAACTAAAATTCGTACTGTACAGTTACATCATATTATGTTACATTATTGTACGCGTAATAAATAAATAAATGTTAATTAATAATGATTTTAATGTTATTTTTGAAATAAAGTGTTCTTATTACACTGTATTGAAAGAATTTATTTTTAAAATTCGGAAATAATCGCACTTACTTGGCTTGGACGTGGCCGAATCTCTGTAGTTTAATATTAAAATTAATAAAGATAAATTATAATAAATAGAAAATAATAAGAAAGAAATTTGTACAATTTGGTTAATATTTAAAAATATAGAAAATATATTTAATTTAAACGTATGTTTTAAAATAATTTGTAGAAAGAATTTTATAAAAGCGAGAGAGAGAGAGTTTTCCGTTTTATTTTGTTAAATTTTAATAATAGTTTTAAATTATTTTATTTAATTAATTGTATTATACATCCTGTATTTGTTGAACATTACGGCTTTTAGTTGTCATTTAAGGAAGTTCTGTTTTCTTATCTAATCTCAGAATAAGATAAAATCATTGTTACAGTCAAATGATGAATCATGGCTCTTCCATTGCTGTATTTTTCTGCATTTACCATACATTTTACAAATGCCATAAAGTTGTATTTTCTTAATCAAACGAACTATCTCGTTATGGTACCCCTCTTATTATTGTATTACCTCTACGTGTCAAAGATGTTTCAGTCCTCACTAATGAAACCATTAGACAGCCCTATTGATCTTGATTTTCTACTCAATATTCTCTATTTCCTTTTAAATTATTCTAAAGTTAAATCTATTAGAATTGTTTTATCCGTTACGCAATATATAATAACGCACACTCGTCCATCTATGTCAAAGAAATCTTAATAATATCTAATTGTTCACGTTTATTAGCATTTTCTCACCAATAATCTTTCGAAAAATAGACATAAAAAGCACTAAGAGGGCCTTTTTTCACGAGGAAGGAGGAGGCCCGACATACTGTACGAAAGATTCTTAGATTTTCGACCGTCCGGAATCATAAGAAAAGATTGAGTATAATGAAAATCTCACACTTACCTGAAGTATTGTCAATGGTATAATATAAAAATATTATCGAAATATAATCTGTTGACAAGAACAGGTTTATATTTACAAAGTATAAATTTAAAAAATGGCAATGTAAATATTAAAATAAATTAGCTTACAGTTCGGTTTAAATTGCATTTCTTAAAATATTTATCGTGTTTAAAATGCCTTGTATACAAGTAGCAGTGTGAATAAATGACGAGGGATTAATTTCCTTCCTGCTTTAATCAAAACCAAATCCGCTTGATTGTACATTTTCTGAGAATGGAGAAAACTGAGTTCAGTTGAATATTTTTAATTTCTTATAAATAAATAAATAAATAAACATTCAATAAAGATTATGAAACCGCAAGGAAATTTTAATTTTAGTTCCTATAACGCGTGTTATACGGTATTGTTTTTAACAGTATTTTCATAATTCATTTCTAATACTTTAATTAATGTCTTCAAAATATCATTTAAGTTTTTGAGGACTGACTGAATGTACACTTTTACTGTAATTATGAAACCTTTAAACGAAGGCCGCTGACTGTAAAATAAAAAATGGTCCGTTGTTTAGAGGTTATTTTGTAATCTTTGTTAAAAAAATTGACCGCTATTTAGAGGTGGCCGTTATTGCAGGTTCGATTTATACTACATTTTCTGTCTATTATGGATGACACGTCCTTGTATCAATTGCGGTACATTGCGGGTATTTTCTAATTTACAATATATAAAATGGAGAAAAACTGCCGTTTACTAACTGGAAAGGAAGTTTAACTTGTATGGAACAGGTTGAGGAAGTTTCTAACGGGTTTCCTGAATCTGTCTAATGTTAATTAGATTTTATAATTTACATAACTTTAAAGTTTATTTTGTCCGTGTATTGCATTACCTTATTCCATTAATTCGATTTGATTCATTTTATAATTTGCAATCAATGCTTTAAAATATATTATTACACTTTGCCCAATTAAGAGCATTAAATGCAGTACTGATTATATTTTATTTTAACAAATATGAATCACATTAGGGTGAATCTTCTTTGTGTAATTTCGAAGTATGACCCGATTACAAGTAATTACTGTATGACAATCGATCGTAAATATTCTGAATCCTTTTTAATTAAAAAGGAAATAATTAAAATGGAGTACAGTTTGACTAACGATATTCTTTTCGTATTGATATATATGAATATTTCCGAATTAATTGACCCTCACTTCAAAGTTTCCTTCTTCGAATGAAGAAACTCTCGTGTTAGGACAATAACTGAGTGAATAATTTTCATCCAATAAAAACTTAATGGAGAATCACTTGTGGAGACAATAAACAAAAGAATGTTGGAGTGAGCAAAATTGATAAGATGTGGGAAACTGTTAATAAGCTTAAAATTTCAGCGAGAAATATTTCAAGTGGAAGTCCAGGAAGCATCTTTATGACAAAGAACGATACAAATCTAAAAATAGTTATTAAATTAACTATAGTTTCTTAACGTGATGTGTATTTTGAGTTTCTAAATAAGTTTCCCTCATAATACACATCATATTAAATCGATAGAAAAGAAAAAACTCCAGCAACGAGTTGCTTAACTTTTCCAGCAACATGTAAAACTGCGTGTGTGGCGTCATGTATTACGATATTTTATTATTAAAAGTTTTTATATTTTTAATTATTATAAAATGACAAAAAGATTAATTTTGTGGGTAGGAATAGGTTTTATAAAAAGTTACAAATTCCCTATTGGAGATACACACGACCCCCTTTATCTCCCCATTCCCTTTACCTTTAACCATCAAAATTTAACAGCATTAATTCCACTAATACACAAACTTCCTTGCAAACTTTCAGAAATTTTCGACAAAAAGTGCAAGAGTTATTAAGCTTCGATGAAGGTGAAAAATACCGTGCTCCTCTCCCTCACACTACACATACACACTACACACTCCCTCACAATACACATACACATACACACATACACGTACACACTCCCTCACAATACACATACACACTATCATCCATACGTAGAAACCCCCCGAATATTTTGCATTTCTCGACGTTTCTGTACTTTGCTGTTGTGAAGTCCTAACGTTCGTAGACGTGTGGTACGACTTCTTGCAAGAAAAGATCACAGGCACAATAGGTATCTTACAGTCACTCTGTGAGATACCTATTGTGCCTTCTAATAATGTCTCCCTCCGGTCTACGTATTTTGTACGTTGTTATCTATGAAGTGTTATTCACTTTTGTATTTGTTTTAAATGTTTCTTTCTTCGAGGAACTCTTCATAAGTTTGCTAACAGGAAAAGTATGATGTACAGGGGCAATACACTAATAATTTGAGGTAGAAAGCATATGTATTTTAAATGAAATTTAAACAGTTTTTGGGGGTTCTCTTGATTTAAAATACCAGATTTTATTGTTAGAATTTTTATTGAAATGTTACTGTAGTAATTATATATGAAAATGTCGCGTGATAAGATTTGCAGACGTGCCATTGTCAACACGGGATTTGATGAATTGTATATTCTCACGCAATAATGCAATGATGTGGCTTCGACCTTTCTCGCAATTTATGATGATTATATATTATAGAAACCGAAATGAATGACATATGACTATATTAGTTTGTTCTTACGAAAAATTCGGCACTTATTAATTCGTAATGTGTTATTGGACTTATCTATAGTGATAATTAACCTTTGTATTTTAGTATCGTAAAATTAGCAAAATATTTATGTTTTTATGTTAATTATAAATACAGTATTTGTTTAACATTGTCGAAATTGTAGTCTACAGTAGACTAAAACTGTCTTTAACTAGGTAAGCATCCACCTTACTTTCTTAAGTGTACTAGCTTGTTTTTTGGCACCGTATTGCAATGCCAATGTGTACCCGAAAATAAGAGATCGTGCTCTCATCTAAGAACTTATTCGTGTATAAAAGCTTGTTTTTTGTATTCTTTTATGCACGGGAATACGATACATACCGTAAATCCTCCATAATCTGCAGTAACTACCTTTCAAACATACCAATTCTTAAGAGTGCCATTTGATGTCACTTCCAGTACCTTCCTGTTGTCACAAAGGAATATAGGGAGTCCCATAAGTCTGAAATCACTGAAATTTGTAAAAAACTATTTTTTATGATATAATACACTTAATATTACTTTATATTTTTACAAGAGTTAAACCGGTTGTTATTTTTCAAGCGTGTCTAACGTAGCCATTCCCTAAGCGTGCCACACAGACGATTAAGCCTACAATTACGAATAATTTGTTATAATAACGAGCTTTATGTTTATGTCACGGTGTAGAAGGATTCGGTAATGTATTTCTCACATTTTTCAAAGTGAGCCTAATAATTTTGTACTTTTACGATAATTAAACTGGTCGTAATTATAGTAGTAGTACCACTCTGAAAGAAGGACACGTTGAATAGATGATCTCTTCTATTTAAGAAAAATGGCCAAGAAATTTTCTTATTTAAAATGTCTTAAATTAAATTTTGTAATTGATTGTGAATTTATTAAAATATTAAAAGTAGATTTAAAATAGTACAGTAGAAGCCGAGTTCTTAAGGATAATCCTTAAATCTCTCCCTCTCCCCGCGAGGAGAGGGAGAGATTTAAGGATTATCCTTATCCTTATAACATTTACTAGAGTTAGTCTCAGCTTAAAATACTACTTTGGACATATTTTCTCTGCCCAGTGAACACTAAGAGGGGGGGTTTAATGCAAACCCATTGTGCATTCGGTCAAGCCTCAGAGGTGAGGCCGGTTAGTGAGGGAAGAGGCACGACATATGTGGGACGTACCATTCCCCGAAAAATCTTCACCATCTCTTTCCCTGATCCGATTGGATTAAGAAACTGTTCGAACTTAATTGGCCAACTTTCAAACGTAAGTAACCCGTCCCGAAAAAGTGCACCTCTCACACAATACCATCCGTGGTCGTCCAATGATCTATTCCGAAAGTTGAGGGCATTTACAATGTAATTTTGTCCGAATTAAAGAAGTTCTGGGAGGTCGGTCGTTGAATAATCGGTAGTATACTTATGCAAACTCAAACACAATTAAACATAATAGTGTGAAGAAAACATGCATGTATGAAAAAAAGGATTTTGGAAATTCTTCCCCGTGGGGAGAGGGAGAGATTTAAGGACTATCCTTAAGAACTCGGCTTCTACTGTACTATTTTAAATGCGGTTTTTTTGTGTTTTTACGGAAAATCGAACATATTTCTAACCCCATCTAAAAATTCTTTAATTAACCTCGGAAGATGGAGGAATTAATTCTTACACCCGGTGAAAACTGGTAAGATCGGCTATAATCTAATCCTGGAGCAACACCGGGCTCATCTGTTAGTACCAATATATTCTTGAAATTTCTATAGGAAACCATTCACGTGTTGCGTTGCAACCATCCAATGAGATTTCTTGTGTTATCGCTGATATATCTATATGGATAGTACATTACACGCCATTATGTAGTCAAAGAAAATTTTATCCCATTACAACATCTTTACATTTCCCCCGGCAACACGGGATGCTCAAACAAGTAAATTCTTATAAAATCATTCACGTTGTGAACGAATATTTTCAAACATTATTTTAATGTTATATAGTCGACCCCCCTATAACACTGTTGATTATTCCATTTTATACGAATTCCATGTTGTACGAGTCACTTAGATTTTACAAATACGTGAGCTGTTCACAGCCAGACACACGTATTTGTAAAATCTAAGTGACTCGTACAACATAGAATTCATATAAAACGGAATAATCAACAGNTTCTAAATACGTAATAAATTATATTGATAAAATTAATTTTTTTTTAAAAAATCGAAAAATTACTGTGGCATCGTCATAATGCCGAGGTGCAATTTTTGATCATATTTTCATTTAAAAGTCACGCAGACCGGAAAATTCGTTTATAGTTAATCTGGACCTTCGGGTCCTAAGCTTTCCACATTTCATCTCGAGATTAAGAAACGAGGGAAGATAGTGGGAATGCATAGGACTGCAATTTTCAAATTGCTGTCCTATGCATCCCCACAAATTGCAGTCCAAAAATCCACAAAATATAAACTTACCTGTGATGCAATTTTCTTCGGGAAGAGCAATTTCACCGAAATATTTTCTTGGCCAAGTTAAAGTCTGTCCTTCTATTTCAGTAATCTCTCTAAAACAACCATCTAACAACATTAAAAAATATTTTTTAATAATTTTAAGTTGATTTTTTTAACACTATAAAAATTCTCGTGATTAATTTAAAAAATTCATCTTATTCGAATACTATCTGGACTCCTGTAACTAGATTCCTGGACTCATTAATGTCGATTAAATCTATTGATCTACTGAAGTCAAACTTTTTTTTAAAAAAAAACAGCTAATTAAAGCAGACTCCAGCTGGGTCTCTACCCTATAAATTCCAATTCAAATCATTCAATAAAACTGATTGAAAGAATGGCCGAGTGGAATTCCCACCAGTGGCCGAGTGGATAAAGTTACTAAACACTGGCAGTTAGTCGCGGGTTCGCACCTCACCAACATTGGAAGTTTTCCGGGTTTTCTTCGCGTGTTTAACATCTAAATAGGACTCAGCTTCCCGTAAGAAAGTCCTCCCAAAGAGACATCTTCCCTCGGCAGTATACAAACAACAGATGTAATTTCTAGGACTTACCTGTATTTCTGATTTTCAAACTCTCAGGTAATATATTTAAATTTTTCATTACTAAAGTTGAATTTATGTTAGAGATCATAAAATTTCGTAACTTCTTCATAAATACTTCTTTATCTATCTTTTTTCTACTACTTTTTTTGATAGAAACTTGAAAATATATTAGGAATTCTACTTTCGTTTTCTGCCTAGAATATCGTAATTTTTATGATGATTATGCCATAATATATTAAAGAAACTATTAAAGTGTATTAATTCAAATACCTACGATACACGCGAGAGTTTATTAACATAAACAGCCGATTGAAATTTCAATTTCGACAATAGATATTTTTCAATTCTTTCTCCAATCTTCACAGCTTCATTCCAATATTCTAAAGTGCTTGGATCTAAGTGATTGAAGATCTTCAAAGAAATAAATTCTCCGCTAAATGTCCATATATCTAGAAATTATAAATTTGGCAAAGGATATTAAATTACGTTACGTGACAAATTTATATATTTTTATATTAAATTAAATACTTTTGTAGGTAAAAAGCATTTTATTAGATGTAACAGATACAAATGGATCTTCTTGGTATATCTCGCACCAGTAATAACCTTGACGATGGCCTTTCTCTAGAATTTTATTTGTATAAAGTAAATTTTCTGTTAAATTTAAATAATCGTCGTCGATATTCATTAATCCTCGGCTTCCTCTAACAATAATTCCATCTTTATACCACGCAACACTCTTGTAAAATCTTTTATTAGAAGAACACTTGAAAACACCATCCGAAACTTTTTCCAATTTTGTCCGCACTCTTCCTTTTTTTTAATGAATTTCATTTTATTAGTATTTAATTATAATTATAGATTAAATTAAGAATTTTATAATTGTTACCTCTATTCATTTCCATCTCACAAATTCCCATTTTTTTCTTATTGGGATTGTCTAATGACCATGACATATTGTAGCCATTACATTTCAAATATCCAGCTGTATTGTTAAAATCAAATTTTGTGTTTCTATCCCAGTCTACGTATCGGACAATCTCGTTATTTTCCCAAATGAATCCGTGTTTCGTTCTTCGAAGTCCAATCCACCAATCTTGAAAAGAAACTCTTTATTATTAAGGCGTTCTTAACAAATTAATTAATGAATTAATAAAATGATTGATGTACCATTACAGCCGTGTTGTGATATATAATTTTTAACGAAAGAATTTACTTGAAGCGTATTCAAAGTGGCCAATCTTCCTCCTTGATTCTTACAATAATTTCCAGCATCCTTCCATGTCATTGAATTATTTGTGTCTTTATAACAGTTTTTTACGGAAGGCCAGCTCTTCCATTGTTTTGGACACCTGTGTGCTATAAAATAAACAGTAATTTATTAGCTACAGTTTTCATTTTTAATAATAATAATGTTGTATAAGATTAAATCATATAATTTCTTAAATTCTATAAGTTATTTAAGTCCAGAACTTTGAATCCCATCACATTACACCTTCCATTTTCTTCGCGCCGCAGCTCATTACGGTTGAACTTCATGTGTTGGGTTGTCATATCCCATCACTCCACTTCCATTCATAAATATAATTTATGAATAGAATGGAGAATCACTCGTTGTAGACAAAGAAAAACCAACTGAAAGACTAAAGGCGATAGTGGTTAACCCCAAAGCAAGTGAAATATCGAAATACGAAAAACTAACATACACCATCTTTTACAATATCTCAACTTAATTTTAAGAGGATTTAGTCACTGTTGTGATGAACATTTCAATTCTCTCAATAAAATGATAACATTAATTAATGTAATTAATGATAACAAATTACTTACGTAAATATTCTTTGCGGAAGAATTTGTGCATGCACAAAAATGATTTCTTTTCGTGGCATCCTCTGCTATAAAGTATTAGATTTCCTTCTTTCATTTCACCACTTAAACAATCATTATCTAATATAGGCTCGTCTTTGCCCCAATATATTCGAACTTCTTTTGATCTGTAATATAATGTTATAATCTAATAAACAATTAAAATAATCCAGAAGAAAATGATGATTACGACAATAAATTTTATAGGTTTAATTACTGAAAAATATATTCGATTGCTCTACATGAAAACTACATATTCATGTAGAAAACTACCTAAATTTAGAATTACTTACAGTAGCGTGTTATGGCTTCACGAAGCCATAACATATAAAGAGAAAATTTCTTTTATTGAATGGGACCCATATGAAATGAAACCAACGGATGTTTCATCCAAAGATTTAACCACGTGGCCCACTATAGAGCATAAATCGATACATTGGAAGAAGGACATCGATAAATCTTTTTAAGTTTCATCATCTTTACTCCTAACTTTAGTAATTAAACAGCGATGCGAAACCTCTAGCATATCCTATTTGGCTGAAAGTCTATTACTCTGTATGGCAGAATGACTCTATACTTATAGATATGCAACTGTTCTACCCTATTCGAGAGTGACCCTACTCGTCGACTGAGCACTAAATATTATGAAATCTCGTTTATGTATTTTAGTTTCTTTTACTTTTTTTTAACATTCGAAGTAGTTAATTCACCGAATGCAACAACTTCACGTAAATGGCACCTTCTTGGATTATCCGTGCAAAGGCACATATTCGGGTATTCATAGAGTATTCAATCTGAGCTTGGGTTTGAAATGAAAAAAAGAAAAAATGTTTGGAAAAACTTTAAACATTTCCAAAGAGAATTAATTTGACTGTAATTACAGTCAGATTTCTCTTGAGCCCGACTTAAATCGGCTGAACCCTTCAAATTTCTCATTGAAAATGGATGGTAGTAGCTTTAGTTACATTTGATTACAGTGAATAATCTTGGTTTCTATTAAAGCACCATATTACTTTTTGGCTGACTAAATTATATATGATATTCTAAATTTAAAATTTAAATAAATAGTATATTACTGGATATTCCCAACTCGAGGATTTCTATAAATAAATTAAAAATGGAATGTAACTTTAAATAATACGATATATTAATGTTATAAATTATTAAAGACTTTCTTTTTATTGATATAAAACATAATTTATTTAATTTAACAAAATTATACTTACGTATTTATAATATTTGGATAAAAAGCTAACCATTGAAAACGGCCAATATTTCGATATCCTCCGAGCCACATCTCTGGAAATTCTGTAAAATGCAACAATAAATCTTTATAAAAATCTTTTTTTTATATATTTTTTTCTAAAGAAAAAAAGGAAATATTTATTTTACCAAAATCAAATGAAGAATTTAAATCTTGTATGGATATATCGGGATCAATACTGAGAGTAAATAAATATCCACGTCCTTTTCCACATTCCTCAGAAGCATCAAACCAGTTCTTTCTCTCTTTGTACAATCGAATACAAATGTCATAACCCCACAATTTGTATCCTGGCATGCAACCACTAAACGGTTGATTTGCTGCATAACATAATGATTTTTTTCTGATCAGTTTTAATGTAAAAAATTAGCGTAATCGTCAATCATAAAAGACGGAATAAAGAAGATTGCTATGAAGTTATATTGTTAAAGAGTGGATTAATTTAGTCTCATTTTAATAAATATATAAGTTGTAAGAAGTATTAATTATTTCCGATTATATTTCCGGAGAAAATGCGAGATGTCTTCTCCGGAATAAGATACTTAGTAACGTTTCCGATAAGTCTTGTAAATAATTTTTAAATATGATCCTGATTTAAGGTATCGGTCGATCCTCCTATAACACTGTTGATTTTTCCGTTTTATATGAATTCCACGTTGTACGAGTCACTTAGATTTTACAAATACGTGTGCCGGGCTGTGAACGGCTCACGTATTTGTAAAATTCAAGTGACTCGTACAACATGGAATTCATATAAAACGAAAAAATCAACAGTGTTATAGGGGGGTGACTGTATCTCAAA